TGTAGATAAAATATCCACTCCTCTGCTCTTTGGGTTGTGTGCCCAACGAAACAGGCTCAAACCATTACTTTTCAGTCTCTAGCTCAGTGATTCTCAACTAGGATGCCAGGTACCACCAGATCCTTTAAGGGGTGCTATGGCATCCAGCCCCTGTGAGAGGAGGCAAGCACTAGCCTCTCCACATGCCTGGCACTGTGCCTGCCCCAACACCCCAGCAGTATGCCCTACAGTCCCTCCCACCAGCTTCACGAACATGGGGGGGGGGACAAAGGGAATGAGTTGTGCTGAAAAGTGCTGCCCCTGTCCCTGGTAACACCTGTGCTGCCCACCCTTATGCTCCAGGAGGTGTGTTCTGTTGTGGGCGGGTGGGCGGGCAGGCAAATGTGGGCCTGCACTTTTTCAGCCTGGCTCTTGGAGCTGATGGGAGGGTCCAGCATTCAAGTCCCTGGAGGAGTAGCTACAGTGGCAGGGGTTGCACTCTCCTGTTCTGGTACAGACTGGGGGGCAAGGAGGCAACAGACAGAGGAAAGAACAGGGCATGGAAGAGTCACATCACTGCTGCCCTCACATGGCACCAGCTTCTGCACCAGTGGACATTGTCACCCCCTTTAAACCCCTGCAGGGACAACTGCCTCCCACAGAGGTCTAACAGGCTCTCCAATCTGCCCCATCAAGCAGCCCCTGCCAGCACTGAGTACCATGCACCACCCTTTACTGCAGAAGTGGGCAATTATTTTGGGCGGAGGGCCGCTTAGCAAGTTTTGGCAAGCTGTCAAGGGCCGCATGTGTAACCCTGCCCCTTGACAGGTGCCCTGCCCCCTGGTCACCATCGTGGAACTGGAAGTCCAGCCCCAACCTCTGACCCTTGCCACCAGAAGTCCCTCCCCTTGCCCCTGGAAGTACTCCTTGGGAGAAGAGGGTTTGCTATCTTAGAACCAGAAAAACAAAAAAATATGTACTAGAAATCAAATGCCCATAATATTATATTTTAATTCAATTAAAAATATATTTTTGTCTTGATACCTGTGTGTTTGTGCTTTATATGTAGAAGAGATTGCATAATAGCTCAAAATGCAGTCTTACTCTTGTACAGTGTGTGGGGTGTGCAGAGGTAGGTAGGTAGGGGGGGGTGTGTGTGTGTGTGTGTGTGCGCGCACGCGCGAGCGCGTGCGCGTGCGTACGCTCCTGCTGCCGGCTGTCAGGGAAGGGCCTGTCAGGCTTGAGGGGCAGTGCAGGGGGCTCCTAGAGCCACTGGGGGTGGCACGAATCAGTGGGGATGTGGCCCGGGATGCGGCAAGCCTAAAGAGACGGTGCAGAACTTGCATCACGTGCCTGAGGTTTGGAGCAGCAAAGGCCTGCCTGCCCCCACCACGGGTGACCTGGGGGTTAACACCACCCTGGGGGGATTGCCCAGTCCCCTCCCCGCACAGGGGCCCAGTGGCCTGGCAGCAGCTCACTCCCCCAGCCCCACAACAGGCAGGGAGGCTGCGCCAGGAGCTCAGGGCTCCACCAGGAGCTGGAGCCACGGCTCCTTTTTTTCTCTGAAAGCTCTTGCAGCCTCCCCAAGCTTCCCTTACCCTGGGCCAGGACCCTGCCAGGTCGTGCCACCCCCCGCAGCCTTGGGAGGCAACCCGTGCTGCCCCCAGGGCTGGCCAGGAGCTTCCCAAGGGCCCCTGGGCTCCTCACAGCTGCAGGAACTTCTGGAGCAGAAAAGCAGCCGCAGCTCCGCTTCTGCTCCTGTTGCAGCCTCCCCACCCGTCCTGGGGCTGGGGAGTGAGCTGCTGCTGGGCCCCTGCAGGGGGGGAGGGGAGCCAGACCTTCCCCCTGGGGTGGCAGCACCCACCAGAGCCTCCCTTTGTGGGGGCAGCTGGGCTGCTGCTGCCCCAAGTCTCAGGCATGGGATGGAAGTTCCATACCGCCTCCCCGTGCCCTATGCCATGTCCCTGCCGGGTCATGATGCCTCAGCAGCCCATGCTGCTCCCAGTGGGGTTGGAAGCCAGCGACAGCCAGGCAGTGTCCTGGGTCCAGTGCCGACGGGGCCCAGAGCAGGGTAGCAGGAGCCCAGGGCGCAGCTGCCTAGGCTCCACAGAGCCGGGCCGGAATACCCCAGCAGGGAGAGAGGGGAGTCACCCCACTCTGGGCCACACCAGTGCTGGCTCCCACATGCCCCCTCGCTCCCAGCCCCCTACCCCAGCCCCGTGGCCAGACGGGGACCAGCGTGCCCCCCCAACCTCCTCTTACCTGAGCTTCCTGCTCTGGCACAGGCAGAAACATCCTCATGGTCCCTCCAGCTGGGGGGGCGGGGAGGGAGGCACACGCCAAGGCAGGCCCTGCTCTTCCAGGAGCCTGCTGTGGCTTCCCCTGGGTCCTACTGCCCCTGGGTTCTACTGCCCCTGGCTCCTGTCACCTTTGACAGGAGCCAGAGACAAATTAATATTAATTTTTTTAAAATTTCTAGGGGCCCCGCAGGCCAGACAGAATGGCCTGGTGAGTTGGATTCAGCCCGCGGGCTGTATTTTGCCTACCCCTGCTTTACTCTCCTCCCCTGCCACCCTGTAAGATCCTACGGGGCCTGCAAGGATGTATGCAATGTGAAAAATGAATCAGTCTTTAAATGTGGTATCATTAAATTGCCGAAAGTTATCATGGGGTGCTTTGAGGTAAAAAGATGAGAGCCACTGCTATAGCTGGATATGGTGAACCAGGATTTCTGAGCACCATTCAACCTCTTGTCTGGCAGGCTGTGAGGAATAGTATTTCTAGACTGGAGTTTTGGTGTCATTTGACTGTCAAAGAACAGGAAAAATCCAACCCTGGTAAAGTCCCCACAGAAGGAGATTCCTTTTGGCCACTAACAAGGAAGGGAACAGAACTGGAACCTGAAGTTGAAAAGCTCGTTATCCTATTGCCAACCCCCAGACTTCCAGTCTTCTCATTGTCAATGTTTATAATGAGAATTGTGTGTCCTGAGGGCAAACAGAAATATTAGTAGCCCTCTTCTCCACTGTGCCTTTCCTTCACTTGGAAAGAAAAGTATGTGCTTGAGATAAAAAAAACTCAAAGTAAAATCCTAGCAGAGACAAGGCAGCTTGCAGTTTTTCCACTAGTCAACAGGTTGAGTTACACATTAGGTTCCTCCGTAATCTTAACCAGGGGTGGGCAATTATTTTGGGTGGAGGACCACTTAGCGAGTTTTGGCAAGATGTCGAGGGCCACATGGGTAACAAAGCCCCTTGACAGGTGCCCCGCCCTGGTCACCATCTTGGGACTGGAAGTCCCACCCTTGACCTCTGACCCTTGCCACCAGAAGTCCCTCTCCTTGCCCCTACAAGTACTCCTTGGGAGAAGAGGATCTGCTATTCTAGAACCAGAAAGAAACAAATTATGTACTAAAAATCAAATATCCATAATATTATATTTTAATTCAATTAAAAATATGTTTTTGTCCTGATACCTGTGTGTTTGTGGTTTATAATGTAGAAAAGATTGCATAATAGCTCAAAACGTAGTCTTACTTTTGTATAGTGTGTGGGGTATGCAGGGGTGTTGGGGGTATGAGTGGGTGGATGTGGGGTTTGTGGGGAGATGTGTGTGTGTG